GCAATTTCGATCCATGCGGTTAACTGAAATAATTCGTGCTCATACTAAATCTACTCTCGTTATAACGAGTTTACACTTCAGAGATTCGTAATCCCATTCCCACGAATAAATATTGTTCGATCACGTTACACAGAGACGAAGAAAACGCGCAGGTTGATGTAGGAGAAACGGGTTTTATTTCACAACACGCAGCGGAGACCGCCCATTTCCATTTAGAAGTTATTTTGTGTTTCCGTCGAGAAATCGGAATTTGATCGTTGAAGCACTCCTCTCCCATCACCCCGCATCATTGATGGGTTGTATCCCCGAAGCGTAAGGGAAACGTCGTGATTCCAAACACCCTCTCGGCAACAATGAGGCTTTTAGTCATAGCCATCTTGAAACACGGCAGTGTAATGGCGTACAGGTTAGGAGGAGGCCGTGGCGGCGGCGGCGGCGGCGGCGGGAAGGGGACGAGACGGGAAATCGAGGTGCAACACTATCGATCGACGAAGCTCCCTCTCTCCTCGGTTAAGTACAGCATTAATGGATGTTTTTCACGACTTTACGAGGAAATGACGGGAGCTTTCACGTGCTTATAAAAACACGCACCGGCACGGCTGCGAGACACTCTCAGCGAAAACGCAGGGTCTGTCTGCGGCCAGCTGGGCGCTGAGGGAGCTAACGTTGCTTACGAGCGGAAAGCACAGGCGAGCCGGTTATCGAATCAACTCGCATCACGGCCTCCTACAACCCATTCACGCTTTTACGCGGCTTTGACTGGAACACTGCAAAGAATTTAGAGCAAATTTCCGTGATCTCCCGCAATGCTTATGAATAATCAATCAACGTTCTGTGAGAAGGGGTTCGATACTCGAATAGAGCTCAGATAATAGCTTTACCTTTGAGAAAAAAGATAGAAGATAGTATTGAAAAGTAATGGACGCAATATACGCTTTTAATCGTGAAAGCAAAGAGATCATTTGTAACATTACAATAACAGGAAGTTCGAGATTGAAGAGGAAAAACTACACACTGTAGAGTTGTGTGGTGTGTATAATTAATATGGGATAAGAAACCATATTTTTTTTCTTTAAGTACGTATTAACCTCGGAGTGAAATTCATGCCACTATTTCACTGGCCTTTACGAGCGATGTTAGATATCAATGAAGAATGTGCAAGTATAAACGAAAAACATGTTCCATTGCATTAATGAGGATTAAATAGTAATCGAATATATAATTTCATTTATTCCAAGTATCCTTGTAATAACATTTGTCCTGAATTTCTTATTCACAAACAAATTGCATTTTTTAACAAGTATTAAAAAAATCACAAACTTTTATATTTATTGTACGCATATATTTATGTTTTCACGAAAAATATTTGCTTGATTCATATTATCAATCGCATAATACATTCGTCACAATGGTTGCAAAATAGCCTTGCGTAAATGTTGACAAGTTTGAATTCTGTAACCAAAATTCGTTTTCTGAGCACTGAAATGCAACAATGATAGATCTTTTATGTCAGTGAAATGAAACTAGGGGTTACTTTTAAACAAATCTCGTCATACTTTTTCGCGAATCTACATACAACCCAATAAAATCCATTGCTCATATTTCAACATGAAGTACAAAATCATCCCAGTAAATCAGAAACTAATAGTACGTTTTAAAAGCTATATAATTTCTCAACATATCTCTCATTCTAACATATCTCTCTATATTTTACCAACTGTAAAAATGTTTTACGTAAGTTGTATTCTTAGGTATGCCTTCGCCAATTTCATTCTATACAGAATTCGTGATTATTTCTTATCAATTCCGTCACCCGTAAATATGGAGGACAGTACAAATAATATTGGTTGTAGAGGTTGCAAGGTTGTAGAAGTCGGAACGCCTCCCTTACACATACAATATTCCAGCACCTGATTGATACGCGAATATGCTCATCCAACTTAGCATACAAAAATGCACTCACGGTTAATAAAGAATATTTGCTTTGCACCATTACGCCTGTAAATAGAAATTCTACCCAGTTCTTAAGTAGATAACGGATCATTCTTTGGAGGTCACTGAGGTTTAAGAGCGATAAAGAGTGGACTCAGTTGTGACCACTATCCAAAACGTCTTCACATTATTCTTATATTAAGGATTTCATTTCACGATTTCTTCTGTGTACGCCTTCAGACATTTTTGTTTTCCACGTTGTGATTAAATTTTCTGAACATTAATAATTAAAGTAATTTGAGTTAATACTTGAAGTCGTTGAGGGAAAGTTACTTAATTACTTCACGTTTTACTCGCCGCTTATGTTGGAGAGTATAATTGTGTTGAACTATTTCCCATCTCAGAGCACAATAAATGTTATAAATCTGATTAATTTGAAATGTTGCATTAAATAACTGATAGCTTATTCTAAAACAAGTACGTATTTAAAGTCTTAAGAAAACTTAAAATTCAACGTATTCACGTTTATATAGTATTATTATTCTCTAAATGCTACTAAATTCGAACATTTTTTTTCTCACAGTGCATTTTCACTCATCAGGAGAAGCAATTTGCATGCAATGTTAATTTCTGAAACGTTCCAACTATTCGTAACTGCTAAGTTCATTTTATTGCAAAGTTCTAACGATCTCTGAAGCGGTGGCAAGCGGAACCACGGCGACCTCTTTACGGCAAAGAGAGAACGACATTGTGTGCTTCACACGTCGCAAAACGAAATATTCTCACTCGACTATTAACAATTAACTCTACAAAAAACCACAATATTTTAAATTTCTATATATAGTCACGATGTATACATACATTTTACATATCGGATCTTATTTTAACGAGAACTGCGAGAAGAATTAAAATCTGATGAAATAAGTTCACATGATTCAAATATTACACAACTCCGTTGGTACGCTTAAGAAACCGTATTGCATACCATGACTATACTCATCGATTTTCTTAAAAACCTGGAATGCAACGCAAGATTCTTTACTCTCAGATTCCAACATTTCCTTTTTTCTCGTCAATTGTTTTTCGTACCCCTTCATTTAAAATATTCAGATATATTATTTGTTCACATTTATTTCGTTTCATAAACCAACACAACAAACGTTGATCATGTAATGTATTTTTATGCACTAAATTCACACAATTCTTTAACAGTTAGATTCCCAATAACTGTAAAGAAATTTCGATGCGCATCACTACCATACCGAATTTCTGAAAATATACTCAATCAGTACATTCTTCGGTTCAATAAGCATTCTTAGCATCAATTTTTAAAACGCTCATTCAAGCAAAATCTCCATTGTAGATCGTCAAGCACCGATTTTATCAACATCTAGTACATTTTAATTTTTATTTATCTTATCTTTCCATGTTTAGCATCTTCCTTAGAATTATCTTACGAGAATATAAATACTTAACTGCAATAATCCCTTTATAATGAAAATCCTATAACGTACACAATATCCAAGGTCGTATCGTTTCTCTTGCAAACCGTACACTTTTCATGCCTCATAAAAAACTCTCTTTAACGAAACAAAAAAAAATTGCCTGATTTTTATTGAATTTCCCTTATAGACTTTACACTGCATTTTACTCGTTCATCGTACCAGAGCAGTGGAGATGCCTGCTCGGGCAAAAAAATCTACCGCAAAATTCTCGGGCAAGCCGGAACGCCGAGCTGGATCGCGACGGTTGCGGCGCCACAGCTACCGACGACGACGTCGGCGCCGAGGCGCGGCGTCGGTGGCCGGGCGGCGTCGGCGTCTTCGGCGCACAAGGCGTCGCCTGTTCGCCCGCGGAGCCCGCGAGACTCGCGCGCAGATCTGTATCTCTTATCCCGCGTTTCTCGGAACCGCCACAGGCTTCCGTTGAACCCGTTCTTAGACCTTGGGGTACGCCCTCCCGAAAACCGCGCGCGCCTGGAGTAACCTGCCGGCAGCGGCAGCGGCGGCGGCGGCGGCCGACGATGTTAATTAAACGCACAAAAAGTACACAGCGCCGGCGGCTCCTCCGACTCCGCTAACGTAGCTCTTTCTCTCTCTCGTACACAAGCTCGCGCTTACGCACTTTATCGATCCTTTATCTCGTTAGTGGGAACGTGTGCGAGCACGGCTTTATTAAGTGCAGGTAACGAACGTTTTTCGTCCTGGGCGGCGCTTCCGAAGTTTTTTTTACGAGGTTTATCTTTGTGTACTGCTCGGCCGGTGCGATGTAGGCCCTTTACGCGTAAATGCGCTAAATGAAAGGGGCGATTTTTTAACGTAAGTTTCGTTAAAAATCTCATATCGCGCGGCGCTATCGAATGTTCAACGCCCACAGAATGTATTATGCATTCTCGCCAACGTTGTTTCCGTGTAAATGTATACACACAACCTACAGCGTTAGAAAATTAAGCAAACATCGTAAAATTGCCTTTTCGACTATGTAGCGCCGATTTCGGCCGTTTCCGAGCGAAATGTTGCGTGTTTTCCGCGCGCCGCAGGCACCGGAGGGTTTAGTGATTTCTATGTTTTTTGGAAGTCACGCTTTTCGACTGAAACAATGTAACTACGCAGGGATTTGACAAAAGGTGACACTATTAAATGGAGTTGTATTGTTTATACAGTTATTTAGCTTTACTGGCAGATGCGTACATATATTCTTTAAAACAGTATTTTAGTAATTTTTACGGTGTCAAAGTCGAAGTGTTCGTCTGAAACAACGATTTGACAAATGGTGACAATATAACTGTAGTTAATTTCTTTAAGTTACAAACGCGGAATACAGCCACAGGCAGCGTAAGTTGATTCAGTATAGTCGAGCCACTGTGGCTACTTATAAGGTTTTTGGAAGCAACTTTGTTTCCCATTAAAAGAGCATCATTAAGCAAAGGTGTTGGCACAGAGAGGGAAAATTGGAAACCGGTGATTTGATCGGGCAGACGTCACGCGACATCGGCAACGTAACTTCATCTTACAAACACGGGACATCAGAGATAAGGCAGGTTTCCGCGCGTGATGTCAAGGACTGACCTTTATGCTGATGGGCACAGTCAACCGCCGGCACGGACAGCAGTGTCAGCATGCAGAGGAGACCTAGAGATGACGCCGCCGTCGTCTTCATTGCCGTCGCCGTCGTCATCGTCCTCTTGCGTTCAGTCCCTCGAAACGTGATGCACTTGACACCCACCTCGAACACGTGTCCTCCTCGGTTGAGACGCCGGGGCACACTCGGCAGACACTTTGCTCAACTGTCTACTACGGCAGACTTCACGTCTCTTGTTCGCTTTCCAATTTTGCTTCTTACTCTCTTCGCCAGTAGAAACTGAAAAGAACTTTCCGGCACTTTTCTGACGATGTGAAACCGCGATAGAAATAGCGTCGAGATACAAAAGGGAGTCTTGTTTCAGAGCTGAAACTTTCAAAAGCAAGTTCTCTGGCCTCGGGGAGATACAAATTTAATTAAAGTTTAGTTTTCGAAAATACCATCGCTTTTGAGACAAAGAGGACAATCTTCGTGTATAAAAAGTCAGTATGAAAGCATGGGTAACTGTAGATAACAACGAACTTCAACAGTATCACATTGCTTGGAAGTACAGTAGCATGCAGAATAAGTCTACGGAAACACACTCGCTCTCTCGATGCTGATACTTAACTAGTATAGCTTCTCTCTCACACTTGAGCTAATTTTCAGGCCAATGTGTTGTTTATTTTACAAATTTAACAGACGAAGAAGTCATACGAGAAATTGGAGTATCTAAATTCACACACATTCACTTCTGTACAGTTGAGCTCTTCTTCAGGTTACGATACAAAGATGTTTTAAGAAAGTATAAAACATCAGAAAAACATATAACGTGATTACCAGGCGTCTCCACGTACGTATTACAAGAATTAGGCAAATTTCGAATGTTCATCTACTTGTCCTAAACGAACACACACTTGCAGTATTTACACAGCGCGAATCTACACAAATCTTGTCATACAAGTCTTCTGATTCTTCTTCTTCACATTCAGAAAAATCTTGAATAATTTTGCACATAGTTCAGGCTCCTGGTCTGTTTTGAAGTTGCATACATAGAGTTCTTCATACACGTAACACTTATCACCTATTAAAACAGTTTCAAGCTAACACTACAAATATTTATCCTCTTCTCCAAACACTGTCTTACGGTTGCATCGAACACATCACATCGTCACACCCTCAGCTCCACCCCCCCAAAAAATTCAAAAACTGAAAAACAGTCGCTGGATTTTCGCAAACACACACAGACACACGCGAATTAAATCATTTTTTTAACGAAAAAAATAATTATTTTTTTTCTAGTCGTCCGTCCGGGAGTGGAGCGCCGAGCTGGTGCGGGCGGGCGGCGGGGCCGCGGGGGGCCGAGGAGAGGGCACGGGGCGGCGGCGCACGGGACTGCGCGGCGCATACCAAGGGGGGGCGCGGCGACCGGCCCGGGGCTTGGGGGCGTCCGCGGCGGGCGTGGGGGTCAGCGCTCGCGCGGTGCTTTGCGCCGCGACGCCCGCTAGTCGTGGAGAGCCCGGCCGCCGCCACGGGCCACCGCCGCCGATGCGCGCGCGCCTGCCGACGCGCCGCGGCAGGTACGTCACGGCCGCCGCCTACGGCCCCACAACGGGAGGGTGGGATGGGTTAGATGAAAGGGGATGGATTGTAGGAAGGCATGATGGTAGGCATTGATAATGGTTGGAAATGGATGGATGAATGGTTGTATAGTTGAATGGTTGGATTGTTGAATGATTGAATAGATGGGGAGGTGGGATGTTGGATGGGGTGGATTGTTAGGATGGGTGGATTGTTATGATGTGTGGATTGTTAGATGGGTGGAATTTGTTAGATGGGTGCATTGTTAGATGGGTGGATTGTTTACGATGGGGTGGATTGTTAGATGGGGTGGATTGTTAGATGGGTGGATTGTTAGATGGGTGGATTGTTAGATGGTGGATTGTTTAGATGGTGGATTGTTAGATGGTGGATTGGTTTAGATGGGTGGATTGTTAGAATGGTGATTGTTAGATGGGTGATTGTTAGATGGGTGGATTGTTAAATGGGTGCATTGTTAGAATGGTGGATTGTTAGATGGGTGGAATTGTTAGATGGGTGGATTGTTAGCATGGGTGGATTGGTTAGATTGGGTGGTATTGGTTGAATTGGTGGATTGTTGGATGGGTGGATTGTTAGATGGGTGGATTGTTGATGGGTGGATTGTTAGATGGGTGGATTGTTTATGGAATGTGGATGGATTTTTAGATGGGTGGATTGTTAGATGGGTTGGATTGTTAAGATGGGTGGCTTATAGAAGTGTAAGTAGCGTGGTGGTGATGTGGTTGGGTTATAGGGTGGTTAAAGGTGGTTGTTAGATGGGTGGATTGGAAGGGTGGATTGTTAGATGGGTGGTTAGATCGTGTTTTAGATGGCGTGGATTGTTAGATGGGTGGATTGGTTAGATGGGTGGATTGTTTCAGATGGGTGATTGTTAGATGGTGGATTGTTAGATGGGTGGATTGTTAGATGGGTGGATTGTTAGATGGTGGATTGTTGGATGGGTGGATTGTTGGATGGGTGGATTGTTTGATGGATGAATTGTTGTATGGGTGGATTGTAGGATGACTTGCTGCACGGGGATATTGCAGTGGTGGTGCAGTGGTGTGCTTTACAAAGGCAGATGGGAGGGCAATAGAAGTCGTAGCCTTCGTCGTTTGTTGGTGAATGTCAGATATATCTGGTGATGCATAGATGGTGATGGTTAGGTATTGAAAGGTGACGATGTCGTGTGACAATTGTTAAGGATTTCAGATTGTTGGTAATGTCATGGATCGTAATGGTTGGCACTGATCATACTTCCAAACAGTGTGTGGTAATCAGATCGTGATTAAAGTATTTGATCATAGTTAGTGATGATTTCTTGAAGCTTGTTCACGGCAATAATTTGCTAATGAATACTTAAATTCGGGAATTGTTGGAGGCAATTTATAATGGGGATACGTCTCCGTTCCGCGGCTCACTCCCCTGGAGAGATGGGCAGAAGGCTGCGGTGGTGATGTGGGTGACGAATGCACTCGGCGTCGGCATCTCTCTCGTTTGTCAGTTAAGGACTGTTGATGGTAATATTTATGTTTTGTAATTGTAAATTATTGGTATCAATCGGTGATGGAGAGTATTGGTGTGAGGTGATGGTGCGTGATCATGGCGATAGTTTCTTGACATGGCTGATGATTGTGGATCATGATGATCCGTGATGATGCACAATAAACATAGCACATGATGGTTGGTGAGAATAATGGCATGAGATGGTTGCTAACGAACATAGATCATGATGGTTGGTAAAAATCGTGGTGGGAGATTGTTGTTAATGAACTTATTTCGTGATGGATGGTAATGATTATGGATTTTAATGACAGGTAATGAATTATTTGTTATAGTTTCTGGACAATTGGGCTCAAACATTATCGGTAACGATTCACTTAAGTTAGGTGATCGTTGGCGGAGACTGGAGAAGATGTTGGCTTATATATTTAGAAGGGGACGATAGGTACGCGCGAAACGCAATTACTATAGAGAGAGTGCGTACTCTCAATTACAATGGAGAAATGGGAATATAATATCATTGTACTGAGACGTTGAAAACTGTCATGGTGATGGTGCTGCCAACCAGCGGCAGGATGTGCGTTTAGGCTGCCGAAGTGGCTCAGTAGATTTGCTGCCCCGTCCTATTCCCCCTCCGCGGTGACCGATGGAAATCTGCTTGCAGACAGAGGGATAATGTGGACGTTCTGCAGGTGATTAGGGTACTATTCGTACTAATGAAGGGGAGAGGGCGATGACGTGGTATGCTAGTAAAGATAGTGGTGATTGAAGATTGTTGATGATGTTTGCCGGTGGTTGTTGATGGGGCAAGTGGTAGTTGAGGATGATTAGTGGATTACTCTGGTAAATGGTAATTCGTCATGAATTGTTGGTAGATATTTCATGCTGGATTACGGGTTGATTATTATGATATGTTAATATTTTAGATTGTTCCCTGTTTGATGATTGTTATGATGAAGTTGACCTGATGACGTGGATGGAAAATTGTGGAATAGAGATCGCGACGACAGGAAGTAAGTAGTTGCAGGTGTCACGGTTTTGGAAGCAGTGATTACAATCGCATTGAGATACTTGATGAGTATTCATCTATTTTGGGAATGAGGAAGGGAAAATATAAGTAATATCAATTTTTGCTATCCTAATGACATTATCGGTGAAAATATGAGTTACGTATAGGAATATGAAAGGCGCCATCTTGATAAAAAATTATAAATAAAAGGAGCCTAGCTGCTAGAAAGTAATCTCTTAATAGTTGCAATCCTAATATATTGAATAAACTGAGCAAAATTTATAATTTAGGTAATAACATGTTCATCTACTCAAACAATGTAATATTACCTCTGTATAGGATCTCATCGTCATAGTGATTTCAGTTTGCCAGCGATCGTGAGAGCAAAAGCCAAAATAATGCTTTGCTCTGCAGTGCAGAAATGTAGCTTTTACTCTCCCTTCCTCGACGTCACTCGTAACGAAAACTGCTTTTTATGGACCGAAAATAGTAATAATAATAATAATAATAATAATAATAATAATAATAGTAATAATAATAATAATAGTAATAATAATTATTATTATTATTATTACTATTATTATTGCTATTATTATTATTATTATTATTATTATTATTAAGGACAGTGCTAGCTAGAGCGGCTGCTGTGGTACAGACGGGCGCCGGCGGCAGAAGCACTGTGGGGACTACGAGCGTAGGTGGCGCTGGCAGAGCTGTGGCAGCAGCAACGCACGGGATGCGCACGCGCAGACGTGCCGCCGGAGGGCGCGCGGGAGGGGAGCGTGATGGAAGGAGGGGGAGAGAGAGGGGGGAGAGCGGGGGCGAGTCCCGGGAAAGCGAGAGAAGCTCCTCGGTAAAGCTGCCGGATTTGGGCAGCGGCAGGCGAGGAGGTCGGGCGACGAGCAACTCCGCTCCTCACCTCGCATCACATTCTGATCGTCCCGGCTCGAACGCCTCACCTCACGTCACCTCACCTCCATCATTTTGCCTCGCCCCACCTCACTTCGATCGCCTCACCTCACCTCACCTCACCTCACCTCACCTCACCTCACCTCACCTCACCTCACCTCACCTCACCTCACCTCGCCTCACCTCACCTCGCCTCACCTCACCTCGATCGCCTCACCTCGATCGCCTCACCTCGATCGCCTCACCTCGATCGCCTCACCTCGATCGCCTCACCTCAACTCACCTCGATTGCGTCAGTTTCATTCCGTTACCTTCTTATCGTTTGTCTCACCTCGTGTCATCTCATACACTTCGTTTCTCCCCCCTCATTTCACATTACCGCCTCTCTCGCTACCTAACCTCATTTCGCCTCCATCTCGTTCGTTCGCTTTACCCCATTCACGTTACTTCATTTGTATTATTTTCTCCCTCCCCGCTTCCTATAGCCTTTTCCTCAATAGTACTATTATCTTGTGTTCTTTAATTCTATTGCTAATTTCATTAAAACTTCATGATTGCATTTTAATAGAAGTTAGCACGATATCCATTATTTCCTTCATGACGAGGAAGCCATTGCCGTGTGGGGCACTTCGTCCACCCAGGACAATGAGGCACCGGCGAAGTTGAAGAAAAGCGTAAGCCTATCAGAAAAGAATTGGCCCCCAAAATTCTCAAACGGTCATCTCTGTAAGAAGTTTTTCTTCATAACTTTTTGTTACTGTACGTTCATCCTGTATGAGTAATTTCTTGTAGCGTATGTAAGAACTATCACGTGTGAAAGTCTTTCTTGAAGTTCTTATTTATTTCCTGCGATATTAGTTATTTCTAGTGTGATTAACCTTTAGTAGCAAACTAAATGATAATGAGGTTTAGCGTCCCATGTTAATTTTTAATCTGCGTTTCTGTGTCTTTTCGACTTCCTGTTCTTACGATTCTTTAATTTTCTGTTATAAAACATTATGTTTGTGATGAAAATGTTGCGTACAAATTGGATTTTTGACCTCCTTTTTCAGGAGAAAGTTCAAAAGTAATCGAAATGTCGTGGTGAAGGAAGACCTTGGAATCTGGCACGAAATCGATCAACCTTTCCGGGACTAAGGAAGTAGAACTGAATAGTGTATGAAGTTAGTCTTGAGCAGGTCTACGCCCACAAACGCGCTCGTGATTCACACAATGCAGAGACTTTCGAACAAAGAAAAATCACAGAATTTGTGAGGAAATGTTTCCGAGGATTTCCTAATAAACGAGATTGAACTTAATTTATTTTTCTCAGAACAAAATGGTTA